GTGACTAGTCGCTGGCTGATCATGAAACCACATCGGCTTCCACCTGCCCTTTCCAGCGAAGAATTTCAGAAGTGGACTTGCCTAGGCTTCATATTGAAGTCCTGCCCCAAAGTAGACTGGCCTTTGCACAGTCGACAAGCCTTACCAAATATGCGACTCGGTACTCTCTTATGGCTCATACTTGATAACAAGGAAGTCCAGAGTATGGACAACCCAGATCTTTTGGCGTTTATAGACAGTCAAGGTTATCACAAGTGTGTTCAAGCATTGGGTGGAAAGGACGAGTACTCGAAAGAAGATGGCAACAGCCAAATATCAGTTCAATACGGGCTACTATCTTCTCGCCGTTATTACTGCGTCATCACAAGCTCCCATTCGTCCTTATCTTTGTACCTGGCGGGCATATGATCAAACGTTTCTCTTTCTAGTCACCATGCCTGTTATATGTAGGACTCCTGCTACATCTCTATAACTTACATTTCATCGCAGCCAGCCTAGAGACTTGCCTCGGAGTGAGAGCAATGAATGGGAACACGGACTAAATCAAGCTGATCAGACTACATGTATATTGCTCAGGTCTTACTTAGCTGGACTAGACAGGACTGTCAACCAACTTTGTCACGCTTTACTCTACCGAAGCTCCCAGATTGAAACGCTGCGTGGCATTTCGACGATAAACTGCATTATACCTTGCAGTGATGACAGCGCGCAGGAAGCTCTTCACTCTCCTGCCTAGTAAGATATGGGTCTGCGAGCCGCTGCGTGAACCGTTGAGCAAGGATAGCCTGTGCGTTGTGCGTAAGGTCCTTGCGATTCCATGGCTCAGTATCCATGGCCTACCAGTTTAGCCGATACCAGGCGGCGACTTAGTGGATTTAACGGCTCAGTATTAGACGGCTCAGCATGATGACACTGTGAACTATCTGATAGTAACTCTGTTGGGCCAAGCGGCATATTCGCGGGACACTTGGGTGCCTGGCCCTGGATTGGCCCAGCTCTATACGACGACGTGTGACCAAGTCAAAGCTCACAATTGTATCACACAGTACTTATTGCACGCGACGGCAGGAACACGAGTAGTGTTACTGGAACATCTATAATAGGACATCACCTAGTAGCTTCCGGCTCCTGGATTTAAGAACACCAACTAACAACCCGGTCAAGATGCTCCTAGTCGCTGCTCTTCGAGGAGATGTGGACACCGCTGACGAATGAATTCTTCGAGCCGCTAAGTACGGCAGTCCCGCATAACGTGTCGTGACGCCATCGTCTACCGGGCTGTACGGGGGCGATGTGCCTTGGTGCACCAAGCTGGCAAGTGGCGGAGAGGAAGAGGGAGATTAAGCAGAGAAATGCTGCGGCGTAGCGTTCGGTCCATCATCCGGTGAAGGTGCTCGGTAGCCGGGGATGGCCGGATCACCGCCGTCGGATGTGGTGCCGGAGCACAAAACAAAACGGATGTCAGCATCAATCGATTAACAAAAGAGAACTGGCCTCTAATTCACGTTTGTTGACATCTCCTGCGATTTCACATGTTTATGCAGCCAGGATCTAATGTACGGTGCCTTGATGCAGCTGGTCTCTTTTTGTGTGTGATGGCCTCCTATCTTGACTATCATTACACAAAGCAAAGGCGGCTCAAGTCTGTCCAGGACCTCCCCGCGCAGAAAACATCGTTTAACTCCCTTCCAAGATCAACTTGAGAGTCCAGAGGTAGTGTGCGAGGGCACCGAACGTGGAATCAGCAATGACTGTCCGGGGGTGGACGCCC